GGGATCTGAGTAACAATCTTTCCCTAGTTAAATAAGAAAAATCACAATTATAGCATTCATTTCAAAAAGAATTAAGGTGAAAAGTTGTTGTTATGTGCCGTCGAGTCGTTTGTGACTCATAGCGACCCTATGTACAATAGCCCTAAACCCTGCTCTGTTCTGTGCCAATCTCATTGCCTCTGACACACCCATCCCAATTACCCCAGTCACTGAATCAATCCACCTCATAAAGGGTCTTCCCCTCCTGCGCTGTCCCTCTACCCTCCCAAGCATGATGTCCCTCTCCAAGGACCTATCTCTCCTTACAACGTGTTCAAAGTATGTAAGACAGAGCCCCAGAATCCTTGCCTCTAAGGAGTAGCCTGGTTTAACCCTCTCCAGGATGGATCTGTTTGTTTTCTTGGCAGTCCATGGAACATTCAGTACTCTTCTCCAGCACCACAGCTCAAAGGCGTCAATTCTCCTTCTATCCTCCCTAGTCATTGTCCAACTCTCTGACGCATAACAAGTGATTGCAAAGACCATGGCCTGTATCAGGTGGACCCTAGTCTCCAGAGAGACACCGTTGCTCTTGAGTACTTTAGAAAGGTCCCTAACAGCAGACTTTCCCATCGCAATACATTTTTTTATTTCCTGGCTGCTGGTGCCAAGAGTGCTGACCGTGGAGCCAAGCAAACTGAAGCTGTGAACAATCTTAATCTCTTCGCCATCTATCCTGATGCTACCGATTGGTCCAGTGGTGAGAATCTTTGTCTTATAAAATGATAATAACAAATTAAAATTAAGAATAATACTAAAAAGTACTATTGTTGTTGTTGTTATGTGCCGTTGAGTTGCCTGTGACTCAGCGACCCTATGTACAACAGCCCTATTTTGTGCCAATCTTATTGTCTCCAACACACCTACCCCCATTACCCCAATCACTGAATCAATCCATCTCATTTAGGGTCTTCCTCTCTTGCCCTGTCACTCCACCCTCCCAAGCATGACGTCCCTCTCTAAGGACTGGTCCCTCCTTGAAACATGTCCAAAGTATGTCAGACAAAAAAATACTCCAAGAATATTGATTGTGTAGCCAAATAAACTGAAGCTGTAACACTCTTAATCTCTTATTATTACATAATAATAACAAGAAAACAAACACAGTTAGTGACAGGAATGTAAGAGTAAATATGCAAATACAAAAATTTACTAATAAGACATATAAAATGAGAACCATTAAAGATGTGTGGAAAAATATGGATGCAATAGTAGTGGGAGATTTTAATCCAATCAAGTAGACACAGAAGAAAGCTAGTGGATCTGAAAAACATACGCAAAGTAAAAATTCTATGTGGCAGTCAGTAAACAAGTAAGTGGAAAACATACTCTTTTTTTTACAAGTATCTACATCTAAAATTTCAGTGTATTTAAAGATGAAAAAAAATTCTTATGCTACTGTACATAGGGTCGCTATGAGTCGCAAACGACTCGACGGCACATAACAACAACAACAACTGTACTGAGACACATCAAACCTGGCAGCTTCTCTGGTAACATAGTTCTTGATGCTTGTATGGCTATTGTGTGCCTTACAGCTATTTCAGATTCACGGTAAACCTATAAAATAGAATAGAACTGCCCTCGAAAAGCATTCTAAGCTGTACTACATTGCAAAAATTTGCTGTCAAGGACCTCTTTAAAGTGCCAAAGACCAAGGTGTGTAAAGACCAAGGTGTGTCTATTCCAAGGCATCATATTTTCAATTGTTTCCTAAGCATCTGAAAGTTGGATAATGAGTAAGGAAGACAGAATATGAATCAATGTCTTTGACTTGCTGTGTGGGAGAAGAGTGCTGAATACCCCAGGTTTGGTCAAAAGAACAAAAATTTTGTCTTGGAGTAAGTACAACCAGCATGTTCCCAAGAGGCAAGGATGGTGAAACTTTGTCATATACTTTGGGTGTGTTGTCAGGAGAAGCCAGTGCTTGGAAAGAGACATGCTGGGAAAGGTGGGAGGGGTGACAAAAGAGACAACAACCCTCAATGTGATGAGCTGCAGTGACTGCAGTGACGGGTCTGAGCAAGGCAGCGATGACGTGGAATAGGGCAACGTCTTCATCTACTGTTCGTAGGGTTGCTATCAGTCATAGTCAACTTGGCGGGAGCCAGCAACAATCTTTGTGGAAGCAGACTGCCAAGTCTTTTTGCACATGGAGCTGCTGGTGGGTTTAAAATGCCAACCTTTCTGTTGGCAGCTAACTCTTTAACCACCTCCCCACTAGGGCTCCTTCTCTACTGCTTGTGTTGGTATGTACTGTTGAGTAGGAACCCACTTATTGTCAACCCTCCAGTGAGTTTTCAAAGGCATTAAGTCACAAGGGAGGAGATGACCCACCTTTCTCACTTGGAGTTGTTCCATGTCATCGACTATGACTCATGGCAGCCCTGTGAACAACAGATCTGAACTGTATCCTATACTGCACCATCCTTATCATCTTCCCCTCATTTCAATTCACTGCCTCAGACACTATCGATCCATCTCTCTAAGGGCCTTCCTTTCCTTTGCTGACCCTCCACCTATCCAAGCATGATGCCCTTTTCCAAGGAACAGCCTCTTTTAACAACATGTCCAAAATATGTGAGATGAAGCTTCACCATCTTTGCCTCCAGGAAATACTCTGGCTGCACTTTCTCCAAGACATATCTGTTTGGTTTTTGGGCAGTGCATGGGACATTCAGCACTCTTCTCCAACACAACACAAATCCATTGATTCTTTTCCTGTCAGCTGTATTCACTGTCCAGCTCTCAGATGCAAAGCAGGTGATTGGAAAGACTGGCTTGAATCAGATGTATCAGATGTAGTCTTTAGCTGTTGAATTAGGACTGCATGCTTTTGGGTTGGAGGCACAACTCCTTATCACTAAGCCACCAGAGTTCCCTCCTCCATTCTCCATCTTCCCTGCTCCACACACGTAGATGTTTCACAGACCTATATAGCATTCTAATAAGAAAAGCTTACTTACACCAATTAAGATGTCTTCAAAATTTTGGTAATTTGAACTGAAAAAACTTGGATTGTTAGTAGTGAGACAGAAGAAAAGGACAAGGGAGTGTGCTGGAGCCATAATAATGGCAGAGGACCACAGTGAAAGTCTCAGCTCCCACTGAGGAACCATGACTTCCAGGCTAACTTTGAGCTCAGTTCGCTGGGTCTCACTAAGAAAGCTCCAAATGTCCTTGTTACCTTGTTATCCTTAAGGGTCCTCAGATTATTGCTGTCAAGTCAATTCTGACTCATGGCAACACCATGTGCATCAAACCAGAACTGTGCTCTGTAGAATTTTTCAACACTGACTTTCTGGATGTAGACTGCCAGCCCTTTCTTCTGAGGTTCCTCAGGTAAACCCAAATCTCACACCTTGAGGCCTCCGAGTTGAGGGCATCAGACATTTGCACTCCCCAGGAACTCCTACCATTATGTATCTTTAAAACAATCCTTATCTGTTGCCCAAACTGACTTTAATAGGCTTTACTTGTTTCCAACGAAATCTTACCAAATCAGCTTCACTCTCAGGTCTGCTGTTATTTTTAAACCATTCATGTATTTCTTTCAAGCTTCCCAACATTTTAAGGCAAAAGAGAACAATAACATCCTTTAATAACTCACAGAATTCTGCCTCCCCAGGCCTACTGTTTGGTGGTGTTTAGTCAATTTTAAGTCATAGCAACCACATGTGACAAAAAAAACCTGCCCCATAGAGTTTTCTGTGATTTTTACTGAAGCAAATCACCAGATTTTTATTCCAAAATAGCCAGTGGATGGGTTTGAATCACTAGCTTTTGCAATCACCTGTCAAACACTTAACCATTACATTGCCGGAACTCAATCTCTACAGGACTCACTTGTGCTCTCTCACTGTCATTGAATCAGAACCAACTCTGGCAATCCCATGTCTTTCCAAGGCTATATATCCAACAAGAAGAAACTACTCATCCTTCCTCCTGTAAATCCAATGGGAGGAGAGTGGATTCCAACTGCCAGAGAGATGGGGCCTCTGATTAGCAGCAAAACTTCTTACTTGTGAGGTTACCACCACTTCCTCCTTCACAAGTCTAATACCCTTCAATTACTACAGAAGTTAGGAGAGACACTGTGTTGGACATATAGGGTGGTTCTACCAGGATTCTTTCCATGCAAGTAGCACTAATTGCCTCCGCCTATAGGAGTGGTGGCCGCTGACAGCTCTCTCAGTCTACTGCAGGCTGAGACACCTTACACAAGATAACGACCACATCCAACGATGCACAAGTCCAACCACTTATCTTCTGGCTCAGTTCAGAACATCTCTGAAGGGTCAGCCCAGCTCCCTGGTTGAGGGCTCTATTACAACGCACTGCAGTTCAACCTCTCCTGCCCACATCTGCTTTTCCACTCTCTCTCTGAAATGGAAAGGCCAAACCATGCTAATCCTGAGGACACTGATCACACACTTCCTAAGGACTTTCGACCCACACCTCTATCTTAAAGAATATTTCTAAAGAAGCTCAATTTGCCGTGTACTCTGTGGCTAATATTATAGCAATGATGAAAAAGCATAAATAATTAGGGAAAATTAGCTTTTCTTCTGTTTCATTTCTTGTCCTAAAAAAAATCCTGTTCATCACTGGCCTGGTTAGAGACCTGGATCCTGCCTGCTCCCCCAGCACATCTCACACTTGCCCTAGGCACGAGAGCCAACGCCCAAGTACTCTCACTGCTCATTCCCCCCACCCACCACCCCCACAGGAAGATGCCCCAAAACTAGGCTCCTCCAGGACAGCAGGGGGCGCCCTCCTGACCCAGCACTCCCTCCAGGCTCTGGGTGACTTCTAGCATCTGGTCTCTCAGTATCTGGCAGGGGAGTGAGTAAGACTGAAGGAGAGAAGCTGTGAGATAGAAGAGGACCCATCTGGAAGGAGAAGCCAGCCCTGACCCTTCTCCTGGGCTCCACAGTCAGCAGGGCCCTGAGGACACAGACATGAGCCCTACTGTGCTGGCCTTCCTGCTGTTCCTGCTGCTGGGGACCTCAGGTAGCCCCTGGGGGAGGTGGGGACAGGCAGAGGATTGTGGCTCCAGGAAGCCCTGGGTATCTGTAAGGTGTCCAGTGGAGTATTACTCAGCCATCAAGAAGACTGACGTTCTGGTGCAGGTGACCACAGGGATGAGCACTGAAAACATATACAGGGAACTAAAAGAGACACAAGAGGACAAATATTACATGATCTCACTTGCAAGAGACATCCAGAACAAATGTTTAAGACACCAAACTGTTCACCTGTGGTTATTAGGGATGTGTAAGACACAGACATTTGTTCAAAGAGATAAAATAATTTTGAAACGGACAGGGGTGGCTGTGACACAACACAGTGAATATAAATAATATAACTGGATTTTACATAGAAAAATGCTCAAAACATTTTGTGATCATTTCATGACAATAAAGATTGAAAATTATAAAAGGAAGAACAAGAAGAAAGTACCATGTAGAATAAAATCACACTTCACTGATTGTTTAAGGTTTATGAACACAGTGACCTAAGGTACTCTTGAGAGCTTTTATATGCCAGCATTTCAAGGCTCAGGATTAGATATGTTATTGTTTTGACTCACAGAGACCACACAGGATAGAGTACAATTCTTCCATATGTTTTTCTAGGCTTTAATCATTACAGGAAAAAAATGCCAAATATCTTCTGCTGAGTGACAGCTAGATTTGATCTGCCAACCTGTTCATTAGTAGTCAAACCATTTCACGACTGGAGCTACTTTTGGTTGGAGTTAGCCATAATCAAACCTTTAGAAATAAGCAGTAAGCAAAGCACATTTATGTAGCTAATTATGACACTGATGTCAAGTGGCATTATTATAACAATCCCACGTGACAAAGTAGAATTGTTCCATGTTGTTGCTCTTATGTGCCGCTGCATCACCTACAACTCACAGCGACCCTCTGTATATACAACAGCTCTGAAGCTTGCCCTACCAATCCTGAGCCAGTCTCACTGACTCCAACACAGCTGATCCTATCGCCCCAGTTATGTTAATTCATCTCATCCAGGGTTTTCCTCTCCTGCGTTGTCCCCGACTCATACAAGCATGATTTCCTAGTCCAAGGAGAGGTCCCACTTGGCCATGTGTAAAAAGTATGTGAGACAGAGCTTCAAAATCCTAGCCTCCAAGGAGAAACTTGATTTCACCCTCTATAAGGCAGAAGTATTTGTTTTCTTGGCAGTCCATAGTGTATGTTCAATACTGTTCTCCAGCACCACAACTCATATGCATCAATTTTTCTTCTGTCGTCCTTAGTCATCGTCCAGCTTTCTGAGGTATAATAATTAACTGTGAAGACCAAAGCCTAGATCAGGCATACCTCTGGACTGGCATCATTGCTCCTCAGCACTCTGGAGAGGTTCTTGACAGTAGACTTCCCCAATATAATACAATTAGTCTTTTGGTTTCCTGACTGCTGGTGCCAAGAGTGTTCATTGTGGAGCTGAGCAAGCTATAATTATTAACAACCTCAATCTCTTCACCATCCAGCATAAAGCCCAGTGGTGAGAATCTGTTTTCTGGATGTTTTAGCTTATTGAGGACTACATTCCTTGACCTTCTGCAGCAAATGCTTCAGGTCTTCCTCAATTTCAGCAAGCAAAGTTGTATCATCTGCATGATGCAGGCTGTTAACAAGTCTTTCTCCAATCCTGAGGTCACACTTCTCCTCATCAAACCCAGCCTCTCAAATGATTTTTTCCACAAATAGATTGAAAAGGTATAGAGACAAGATGCATTCCTGATGCACTTCTTTCCTAATATTGAACCATGTACTGTTTCCTTGCTCTATTCTGACAACTGCCTCCTGGTCCAAGTATAGGTTTCACATGAGCATAATCAAGTGTTCTGGGATTCCTATTATTATCAAATTAGCCACAGTTTGTTGGGACCCACACAGTAAAACACTTTTGCATAGTCAATGAAACACAGATAGACATTCCTCTGGTATTCTCTGCTTTCAGCCAAGATCCATCTGACATTGGCGATAATGACCCTAGTGTCATGGCCTCTTCTAAATCCAGCTTGTATTTCTGGTAGTTCTCTGTTAATGTACTGTTCCACTTGTTTTTGGATAATCTTCAGCAGGAATTTGCTTGTGTGTGATATTAATGATACCGTTCGATAATTTCCACACTCTGTTGTGCCATAGGATTTCCTAACCTTTAATTTTTATGAGAGCAGATTTCAAGATATTTGTCCCTCTAAACCAGTGAGTGCAAGTGAACTATCAAATTTTCAGTTACCAGACAAGCCCTTAGGTGTTTTGCTACCATGGTAACCCAATGCTGTTGAGTTGGCTCTGAGATACAGTCATCCTTCACTGGGCCTCTGAGGCTGTAAATCTTATTGGAAGGGGGCTTTCTCCATGTTCCAACCTCAGAGCAGCTGGTAGATTATGGCCTGGGAGGTAAGAAGTTATGCTGCCAACCCAAAGGCATACCGCTTCAAAGATAGATTTAAAAAAATATATATATGGAATCTTGTCCCTTACAATTTACAGCCTCTGAAAATTTACTGGAGCATCAATTATGAGTAAAATCCAACTCCACAGCACATAGTAACACAGGTATTAGCAACCCACTACATTAGCACTTGCACACCAACATATACTTTTAAACTATATTAGGTGATAAACACTGTGAAAGGGAAGGAACATACAGAGTACAAGAACAGTGGACATGCTGTGATTTAAAATTAAAAAATCAAGAAAGGCTTATCTCAAAGAGTCCTTTGAATAAGGAGGGGAAGAAGGTGTGAGTGTTAGAGAAGAGGAACTAGGAAATGAGCATTCCAGGAAGAAGCCCCAAGTACAAATTCACTTCAATGCTTTAAGCCATAACCCTGATCATCATCATTTTTTT